AAAAAAAAAAAAAAAAAAAAAAAAAAAAAAAAAAAAAAAAAAAAAAAAAAACATTCCAAACAGTGGGAAGCCTAGTTGTTTCAAAAAAAAAAAACATTCCAAGCAATGAGACTATTGTTTGGAGGTCTTGTGAAAAGAAATTACCCAAAACTAGACTTGAGCTGTTTCTGTACAACAAGGATCTTATCAGGACAATTATTTATTATACGGGTGCATACTATAAAGTGATGAATGACCTAATACAATAAAACTTTAGAGAAAATCCAACACAAGTTGAAAAATAAATAAGCAATACATACCAGGTTTATTTTCGTTAGATCAACACCCCGATTAAGCATTCTTTCTCGACGCTTTGCTGCAATTGTTTCTTTACGATATTTCTTCTTTTCACCTGACAACAAGCACAATAATATTATATGTCAAAGTTCACCAGATGCATTGCTCATGACACGAGCAAAGAGTCAATTTTGAACACTAAAATCTTTGTTTCCCCCTTCATTCCTGGAATCTAGATATTTAAGTCCTATAGTCTTCAAAAGATTGTGTCTGAAGGAGTTACATTTCATTTCACCGAGTAGCCTTATTCTGCAGTCTGCTTTATTAAGAATCAAGTTAAGGTTCTCCTTTTCTTGTAGGATCAATTATTTTCAGCGAATTGTGTATGAACTACGAGTCTAATTCAATTGATGGAATAATTTTTCATAGAAAAAGAAAACATCTGTGCACCATTACAGGGACAGAATTTAATTTCATTGATGGAGAAACTAAGTCTGATTAATAGATTCCACATGATAATGAGTTCTTTACCAGGATACTTTCCACAAGCTTTACTTTTTGGAGCCTTTGGAGGCCAAGAACCTGCAAAATGAGCAGCATTCTTCTTCTTTCTAGCTGATGCAGATCTAGAATCTTTTATCAGCAAGTCATCTAGAGCCAATGACGACCAATTATCTCTAGAAACAATGTTACTTTTCTTCCTTGAAGGAGTTTTCTTCATTCCATATTCTTTGGATGCTTCCTGCAAAGCAATGCCGCTTAATTTCTCCAAAGTATCATCAAGGCTACTGCTGGAACAATCATCATCAGACTCGGCCAACTCTTGTTTTACTAACCATTTGGATTTTAAAATATGTTCACTTCCACCAATCCCTTCAAGATAATCTTCAGCCACCTCGTCATCAATATCTGAACCACTGCAAGCCATTTCTGCAGAGCTATCACTTTCAGACGATTCGTCGGACTCTAAAGACTCCGAGTATTCAGAACTTCCATTTGACAACTCCCCATCATCATCACTTTCTTCATCAGATACATCTTGGGTGTATAATCTCACACCACCAATTGACAAGAAACCTGAATTTCTTGGAGAGCATACACCATGTGAATATTTGTTGGGGGATGATGCTTCTGCTAGCATCTCACTAGCCAACTCAACCTCTTCCCTGCACTCAACCCTCTCATCACTACCCGTTTCCTTCTTGGAGGGCAATGAACCAGTACATAATCCTTCTTGTTCTTCCACAAGTGTGGGTGAATCATCATCACTGTTTTGATTTCTAACAAGTTCGTCCTCTTCGTGAAACCCTAGTCCTCTATGAGAACTGTCACCTAACAGAAAATTTGTACCGTAATCATAAGTAAATTCCACATCATCTTCCTTTAAAGGTGGTTTATCGTCAACATATGCGACAATTTGCGTATGCTTCGAGTTAGAATTAAGTAATATAAAAGGCTGTGAGTTGTCCAAGCTACAATCTGCATCATTCTGCAGACCTTGTGATTCAGAATGCAACCCCCCTTCCTGTGAAAACCCAAACAAAAAAAAAAAAAAAAAAAATCAAAGTGAATCTAAATTGGCCTCCCTCGAACTAAAAAGACATAATTTCATTGAAAAATACAGAACAGTAACTTACGAGAAAGAAGGTATCAAGAAGCCAAAATGGAAAGATATCTCAAGAAAACAGAAATTCTAACGCATTAGGGGAAAATGCCTCAAAACCAATTGAAGAGAACATAAAATTTAATAGAAATGTAAATTCAAAAAAAAAAAAAAAAAAAAAAA